CTTCTGCTCACATCCACACAGATGATCATTGCAACAGGACAAATGACCGAACGTACAAAATGGACAAGACAGGAAAATAGGGTAAGCTTATGTAATTTAATTCATGTATCAACATATATTTCACACAATCAACTAAACAAGATAAATCATTAACTCTTTCATGCAAAGCCTAATACTAGACTCTGACTGTCCGGACTATATGAATTATGTGTAGCTACGATGTTCGTGCACCCGGGTGATGTAGTAACTGGGATACCCTCAACAGCTGCCACCCGAGGTTAGTCCTATCTGTCTAAATTAACCATAAGGACTAGGACCTCCTGTCATTCCCATACATGACTTACCCTTCTCTACGTGAGAACAAGTAATCACATAATATCAGGATGAACCGCCAGCTTAGCTTTATCCACATTCATACTTTACCAATTCCAATATTCATTCATGAGATATTCCTCCCCGGAATACTCTTTCATAATCAAAGTCATTTCATCCATATCATATTCCATCATCTTTCATCATTAAAACCTCAACTTAACCAATTTGAATAAAGATCTCGTAGGATACCAAATACCGAACGTTAGTTTTTAACCTAGAACGAGACTGAAAACTTGGAGTGAGACCGAGATGTCTCCAACTCAAAACTAATCAAATCGAGAGAGTTACTCACTTGTTGTGAAAGGGACCGAATACAATAATACTCCTCAGAGACCAATAGAATCGAACGTTATTTTTAAGTGAGCCAATTTAATGAACTGACTCTTGAGAGTTCAAACCAAACACGTAAAGCCTAGGCCGAGTACTAAGACTCTAGGCCGAAACCAATTAAGACAGATATTGTAGGACGTCAAATAATAGCACTTGACGGAATCATATGAAGAAACCGAACGCCAATAAATACTTAGCTTCTTAATGAGTTAAACATCAAGGAAACCGAATGCCAGTCGAAGACCGGGCACTATAAAGAGCGAATGCTATTGAGTTTGGACGAACGCTCTGATTATAAAGATAGATTTCGGAAATGAGAACGAGCGCCTAGTGTAAGTTCGAGCACTTACTTAGTACGAGCGCTTGGTGTAAGACCGAGCACTACTTAGTACAAGCGCTTGGTGTAAGACCGAGCACTACTTAATACGAGCGCTTGGTGTAAAACCGAGCACTACTTAACTTATAGAATAAAGGCTTGATAAATATAAGATATCATTTAACTAATGTTCAAGAACGAACGAAATATACAAATACATATAGATATACTGAAGTTTATAATCAAATACCAAGGAATGAATATCCTTGGTTGAATGCTTAAGTACAAATATTACAAAACGAAACGAAGATGCTAGTCTTCAACTAGAATTCTCTCCAAATGAAATAATCCAGTTCCAACCGAGTCTACAAGAAAACCGAACACTATATCGAACGAGCGTTGGTCTAATACCAAACACTTATTAAGAACGAACGCTACTGAGACGAATGCTTGGTCCAAGACTGAATACTCAAGTATAACTGAATGGTCAATACTGACTCTCGACGACATCCTTACCCATTTCATGGCTTTCATTAATCATCAATACTTTTAAACAACATACAATATTTCATCATCAACCAAAGCATCAACACAATATCATTCCATTTTCTCATCTCTTAGATTCATATACTCATACAACCAACAATGCAGTAACAACCATATTTCATATCAACGAACATGCATACATTCAAAGCAACAAAATAAATCAAATTATATAAGCTTCTCTTACCTCTTAACGTGACCGAACGCTCACAGATATGGTTACTGGTTCACCTCTACAAATCCTTCTACCCTCAACGCTCGACAACTTCCGAAACTAAACCAAACAGAAAATCCATAAACTCTCATAATCAAATTTATAGAGATCTCACTCAAGGATACCTCCAAAAAATCGTTGTCAGCTGTTTAGCATGTAATAATCGATTATCCTATTATGGTAATCGATTACGCATCATTGAATGCACAATGGTAAAACAACTTTCTTAAAAATTCTCATAATTGCTCATGATAATCGATTATGGCAAGTCATAATCGATTATTGATAATCAATAATCATAAGTAGTAATCGATTATCTTGAGTATAAAATGAGGTTTTCTAATTCAAAACGATTTTTAACGCATCCTAAGACAAACAATACATAGAATCAAAGATAAACCACATCCTATACATCAATATACTAAATTACAAAAGCTTTTATATAAAAACAAGTCTTCATGAAGATCTTCTTGCAATAAGATCACTTGAGACTTGACTTTGAGACATCATCAAAATTTCTGCTCTTCAGCTTTATGCTAACATTTCCAAAAAGCATAGTTTTCTCCAGTAAACAAAGGAGGTCTATTGATAAAGGCACACCCTCAGCAAAGGTTTGATGTTGCCCCGTCATTTTGAATTACTATCAAACAAAGCTCTGATACCAATTGCCAGAGAGGCGCAGCGGAATGGTTAATGCGTTCAACAAACCAAGATGGGGTTAATTGGTTTCTTATCGCAAATCGTGCTTTTAATAATTTTCTCACGTAAATATAAATTCCTTAAAACAATTTAAACAAATTAAAATAGTAAGAAAGAGAGAAAATTGCACAGATAATTTTTATCCTAGTTCGGATCACAAAGATTCTACATATAGTTGTTAATCTAAATCGAGAACTAACGCTACACTAGCATAAACCAACAAATTGTTACAATTATGAAGAAAATAAAATATTTTAAGGTTAGAACACCTCTCTTGTTACCCCAAGAGATGAAACTCACTTCCCTTGTAACCCACAAGGAATGAACACCTCCTTTGAATCTTCACAAAAGATGAACACCTCCTCCGAATGCTTCACGAAGGATGACAAGCTTTCAACTCAGCAACAACAACAACACTCAATCACACTCCCTGTGAAAGTTCTCAATCTATGCCAACAATAATAGCACTTAATCACACTCCCTGTGAAAGTTCTCGCTCTATGCCAACACGCCAAGTTTTCAAAGACACAACAGAAGAGTTCAACAAACCCTAGAACACTTATCACCGCACACTGCAGATAAGAATTTCGAAAATACACTTTTCTTGTTTGTTTCGTATTGTCGTATTTTAGAATGAGAGTCTCAATCTAATTTATAGAGATCTGACTCAAGATACCTCCAAAAGTTCGTTGTCAACTACTTAACGTGTGATAATTAATTATTCAATTATGATAATTGATTATGCATTTAATGAATGCACAATAGTAAAAAACTTGCTTAAAAATTCTAATAATTGCTCGTGATAATCAATTATTGGCAAGTCATAATTGATTATTGATAATCGATTATTATAAGTTGATAATTGATTATCTTAAGTATTTATTTTTATTTATGATTCAAAATAAATTTTAACGCAACCTAAGACAAACAATACATATAATCAAAGATAAACCACATCCTATACATAAATTCTACTAAATTACAAAAACTTTAATATAAAAACAAGTCTTGATGAAAGATCTTTCTGTAATAAAAGAACTTGAAACTTGACTTTGAGACATCATCGAAATTTCTCTTCTTTAGCTTTATCCTAACAATGGGAATTCGACTAGAAGTAGGGAGCTTAGCTGGATGTAGGAGAGCTCATTGGAAACATGAGAGCTTGGTTGGAAGCATGGGAGCTCGGTTGGAAGGATGGGAGCTTGGTTGGTTGGAAGAAGGGAGCTCGGCTGGTAGTATAACCAGCTTGATTATATGGTCCAAAAATACAAGATCTGTGAAAGAAAAACCTATACAATTATATATTATTTATATATTTAGAGACAAGGAAACTAAAGTTGGACCTAGTCATGCACCTTGTAAGCCCTTAAGATGATTGCCATCATGTTATCTTAATTTAGTTTCGTGGTTTCCACTTCTATAATTATTACATGGAAATAGAGAATATTATAGGGGAAAGTACTCCGTAGCAAGGAGCTCAGAAAGGTTTTGTGATATAGATATTTTGTATATGTATATATTTATAATGTGTTTATGGCCCTATAAATGATATGTAAAAATATTTTCAAAATTTTCAATAAGAGGACGATTGTAAACATAATTAATTATACGTATATGAATTATTTACAAAGATGTGAGATATTTAGTAAAGCGATAAATGGTAATATAACTTTAAAGTAGGAGTGTTACATTTTTTGTATTTCATAGTTTATCAAGGGTTTTAAAATGTTAGTATATCTATAAAAAAATAAAAAGTATAAATAATTTCTTTTTCTTATATTTATAAAAACTAAATAGAGAAATTGTTAAAATTTCATCTCTTAAAGAAAACAAAAATGTCATATTTTTCTAGTTGAGCTTATAGTAAGAATTTATAAAATAAAAAAAAGAATAAGAATTGGCATAGTGAAGGATACATGTCTTATTTTAGAACGTAATCATAAATAACAACTAGTTATTCATGTAGTTCTCACGAAAGTAATAAGACCAATGTACTTGAAGAAGAGAGAGTAGACTATTGTTTTCAAATTTTTTTAATCAAAATAACTAAAAATTTATTCAAGCCTTATCAGAATTACAATACTTGATTGAAAAATGCTCTAAAATATATCAAGGACTAGAAAGGAAACTGGTAGAGAAGAGAAGAGGAATACCATGCAGAGAAACAAAAGGAGAGAAACAAAACCAGAGTTCTGAGTTAATCTGGGTATAACTATGAGAAAATTATTTTGGTAGAAGTGCAATATATTAAAAACCATAATTTTATTTGTCAAAAATTTTATAATTATTGACCTGACACTATAATTTTGTAGCTTAAAATCTATATATCATAAATAGATATCTGTTTAAAATATCTTAAATGTTAAGACTAGAAAATAAAGTAGTATCAAACAAAATTTTAAAACTTGAATTTTAAAAGGCTGATTAAGACCAGACTAACATGGTCCTTTCACATTCTCATAAGTTTCTCACAACTCTTTCGTAATTAACTGTAACAATTTAAGACAAGAAAAGATTAGACAATTCAGCATCAAACTGAGATGACTCAAAAACAAGTTTTATATTTAACATATTCTTCCCTAGAAAATGAAGAAAACCCGATTTCTATACATTATAAATTTCTTGAAAATTTGAAATGCTAAATAAGGATGGTTTTTCAATATTCACTGATAGTCTCATCTGCTGAAACAGGGAAGAATATATTAGTGTGAGGGAGTTTGCTAAAATAAACTGCCACATGTCTAATCCAGAACCAGAAGCTAATACAAATTTGGAGGTACAAATTTTGTTTTGAATAATTTATAGTGCACCCTACAAAAATTCAAGCAGCAAAAAGGTTGCTAGAGGTCAAGATTGTGAGATCAAAAGTAATGGCATCTTCATGCCCTAATCCATTCCATGCTAGAAATTTGAGAAACAGGTTGTAGTTTGTTCAGTAATCAGTAATGTACATGATGTCTTCCTCTGCAATGTGCATGGACCCACGATCCCTTCTGCTACCCTGTTGGCTTTTGTCAGGTTGACCTCGCTGTGTCATTACATCAATACCCCCATTTCAGCTTTCTCTCTAATACCAGTTTTCCTTTAAATATATTTATCCTAAAACATAATCTTATTTTCTTTTAGTCCTATTCTATCTATATATTTTAATTTTACTCCTTATAATTTGTTGTTCCTTTTGAATTAGTCCCTTTGAACAATATTACAATAATACTAAAGAAACAAAAACAACATATATTAATAAAACATTCTCTTAGCAAACTCCACATGGAATGTTTTCATGTAATAGACAAAATTCTTCACAATATAATATAACCTCCATGCCGTTTGATGGAGACAATGTTTTACATTATTTTCATAAAATGCAAGAACAAAATAAATATATAGTTTAGTTTAGATACGGAACACAATTTTTAAATAAAGATGAAAAACATATTTAGCATTTACTAAAAAGCCTACAAAAAAAGAGAGACCAAAACGTAAATCAAGAATTTTACAAGGGCTTAGAGTCAACAAAAATTTAGGAATCAAAAAGCCAAATATTATCAACATGCAAATTTTTAGTACTCCCAGATCACCTACTTGTAGTTTATCCTTTTTCTATGTATAAACCACCAGTATCTTATCTTTCACTCAAGGCAATTTTGTTCAAATCAAACAAGAACGCTATAGATAAATTAATTTCGAGCATTTGACATAATTTGCATTCTTAGGAATACATTTTAATACTTGGCTTCCATTAGAGGAAAAAAGAAAACAATAAAAAGGAAACGAGGAGTAATGTGGAGAGGATGTATTATTTAACAGATAAAAATAAAGAAATAGGAAATTTTTTTACCATTTCTTTGGATGAATAGAAGGGAGTGAAAATAAATATATAAATAAATTATATAAAACTCTTATACTAACTAAAACTAAATAAATTTAACAAAAAATATTCTTTTTACTATAACTTTTTCTTCTTACTTCTTATTTCTACTCTTAAACAGAGTATGAAAATTTGGTATTTCTATTCCTGTCTTAGTTATCTCACTTCCTTTCTCGAAGATAAAGAAGGATTGAAGTTTTTCTTTTTAAGAGCCAACTCAAGTGCTTGTTACTTACCTTTCTCAATACAAATGACATGTATAAATATGCTGCCTCCCATTCATCAGCTGAGAGTGTACCTGATATAGAAGTATGCACAAGTACTACATTACTAGGATTCCCACGAACCACAACACCTAAAAATAAGATTTCACACAAAAGAGACTGGGAAACGCACTATTCCATGAAGTTAAATAGAAATTGAAATGGAAAACAGTAGGCACAAAGGCTTACTATTATCTTGGTTTCCATCTCCCAATGCACCTAGTCTTCGCATGAGCTCCACAAATTCCGGTTTTTTCATATACTCGTGCACAAATTCGTGCGAGTTCTTTGCGAAAACAAGCTCAAAGTCATACTGTAAATGTTAAGTTTAAATAAGTAGTCTATGAAAACAAGTCATTGTAATCAACACTTACCACAGAAGAGCTAGAAATTTGGCAGGTTATCACAGACAGTGTGCTACATACCTCTTCAGCTAACGACTTGAATATGTGGAAGGGAACAATCCATTCAGGACAATCAACAGCATCCTGAAACAAAGAAATTATGTCTTAAATGTAGGGATAGAAATTAAAAGTATAGAAATTTTAAAGTGAACTAAATAAGAGACAAGGTCTTTGAATGATAAAATCATAATACTTGTTACACAAAGGTTCTCCATTTATGCATGCACAAAGTCATATATCGCATTGTAATTTGACAAGGAAACTGCAAACCAACTTGTGTAATGAGAAAACAGCTACTTGATATTCAGAAAAGGAAGATTAGAAAGAAATTATACCTCCANCGAGTTCTTTGCGAAAACAAGCTCAAAGTCATACTGTAAATGTTAAGTTTAAATAAGTAGTCTATGAAAACAAGTCATTGTAATCAACACTTACCCCAGAAGAGCTAGAAATTTGGCAGGTTATCACAGACAGTGTGCTACATACCTCTTCAGCTAACGACTTGAATATGTGGAAGGGAACAATCCATTCAGGACAATCAACAGCATCCTGAAACAAAGAAATTATGTCTTAAATGTAGGGATAGAAATTAAAAGTATAGAAATTTTAAAGTGAACTAAATAAGAGACAAGGTCTTTGAATGATAAAATCATAATACTTGTTACACAAAGGTTCTCCATTTATGCATGCACAAAGTCATATATCGCATTGTAATTTGACAAGGAAACTGCAAACCAACTTGTGTAATGAGAAAACAGCTACTTGATATTCAGAAAAGGAAGATTAGAAAGAAATTATACCTCCAAATGGAACGTATACTTTATTCCAAAGGGGCTGGAAGATTTAAATTTCTGAATCACATAAGTAGAATTTCAAGTAAGTAGAATTCACAAAATCATTTCCATAATTATAGAGGTTTCTGGCCTTAAAAAATGAAAGATGGCGCAAAGATCAGGAGGACAAACTTACCTTATCAGAAAATTCTTCATCAAAACGCACCCAATAGACACTGTTACCGAAATTTAATCCTTCAGCTGCAAATCACAGTGAAAATAGCATCTTCAATCAGGAATGAGGAAATAGATCTGCCATACCCAACAAAATCCCCCACTTATATGAAGCAAATGATCAAAGCGTGTTATTGGTGAAGCACATGTCATTCAAAATAATTTATTAGTTCAATTCCAAATAGGAAATTTCGCAAGCAGAGAAGAAACCCCAGAAGTGCAAAACTCTACCGATGAAATTATCGTTTCTATTCTTGTTGATAACATAAACATGTCAAGGGATGAAGATTTCAATATGCATTGAGACATTTTAAATGACAAAGTACCAAATTCCTACACATACTATTGTTTTAATTAAAACTATTAACACAAACATTAAACATACCAACAAGTCAACATGAACTGTTTTAATAAAAAGTTATTAATTTCTATCAACTTTTTTAAAATAAAAAAATGATTTCTTATTTCACTACATGAGGTCAGTCACAAGACAAAGCATTGCAAAGGACTTCATTAAATACTAAATTTATTTTAAAAGAATAATAATAATTGAACATGCAAGAAAAACCTTCTCTAAGCTTCTTGACAATCACATTGGCATCAGGCATAGTTCCAATGAAAATGCCTCCTGGGCGAAGTAAAGCTGACACATTAGCTAATGCTTGCCGGGCACGAGCTTCTGTAGACCATGAGTAATGCAATGCAAACTGCACATTTAAAATGTTTAAGACTAAATCCAACATTCACTCTCAAGATGTAAAGAAGTTCATAATTTATTGAGACAATGTAGTATTAAATGGTATGGTGATGTCGCTTCTACTGACAAAACAGTACAGTGGTTTTTCTTATTAAAAGAAAAAGGGAGCAGTAATCAAGAATATAAATAACGGTTGAAGCATAATTTAATTACAATTTTATTTTTGTATCAAAGAAACTGCAGTAAAACAAGGGCTTTGCAAGAACAAAATTAGATTTTGTTAGATATATTATATTTATCTTATCTTTATCTTTTATTTTTAGTTTGTTACTATTTCTTATTTGTATTTTGAACTTAGCCCATATTTCTTTTATTACAGATAGACCCTATGTGTATATTCAACAACAGGGAGATTAATCTCATACATAGTTTTTTTACTTTCAACATGGTATCAGAGCCTAAGGTTCTTTTGAGAAATTTTTTTTTTTTCCTCTGCCACTACATCCACCGCTGTCGACGACAGCGCCCTCTACCACGGTCGGCAGCGCCATCTTCTACTACCGTCATCTACCGGTGTCACTACTGGAGTTTCAATTTCGACCGACTATCACACAGTTTTGATCGTCTCGGTTAAGCGACCACCGTGTCGTCAACGACACCTTCATCGGATCTCCTATGCACTCTTAGCACCTTTTGAAATTGTGAATCTGCTCCATTTTCCGTCGTGCGTGTGGCATATCTCGTCTCCTCTTAGGAAGCTATTTAGAGCGTCAAGGTCTCTCTTTTTCCTCTTTCAGAGTTGTCGTGTGTGGTCGCACCTCTCAAGCAGCTATTCAAAGAATCAAGGTGGCTCTTTTTTCATTTTTCAGGTGCCTTGATTGGAGAATCTTGAATTTTTAAGGTTTCTCTATTCTTTTCATCCATGCCTTCTTCCGCGATTGTCTCTTCTGACCTCCCTTTTGTCACCATTGCGCTTGACCCGTCTATATATGTTTTTTCTCCAGTGGCAAAGATAGTTTTTGTTAGTTTATTTATAGCTGTGGTGGCTCTTCAATAATGATCTCTTTATCCACTGGATGTCAACAATGCATTCCTTAACGGCGAATTGTAAGATGAGATTTTATATGGAGCAACCTCTGAGATTTGTTGCTCAGGGAGAATCTTCTAGGTTGGTATTTTGTCTTCTATCTTCTATGTTGTCTTTGCAAATCATTAATAACTTGGTGTCAATCAAGTGCAGGTGTAGATATTTTCACTAAGTCTTTATGCATTATATTAGTAACAAGATTGGTACAT